TGGCATTGGATAGGGACTATGGCTGGGGAAAGGCATTTTATAGGGACTATGGCTGGGGAATGGCATTGTATAGGGACTATGGCTGGGGAATGGCATTGTATAGGGACTATGGCTGGGGAATGGCATTGTATAGGGACTATGGCTGGGGAATGGCATTGTATAGGGACTATGGCTGGGGAATGGCATTGTATAGGGACTATGGCTGGGGAATGGCATTGTATAGGGACTATGGCTGGGGAATGGCATTGTATAGGGACTATGGCTGGGGAATGGCATTGTATAGGGACTATGGCTGGGGAATGGCATTGTATAGGGACTATGGCTGGGGAATGGCATTGTATAGGGACTATGGCTGGGGAATGGCATTGTATAGGGACTATGGCTGGGGAATGGCATTGTATAGGGACTATGGCTGGGGAATGGCATTGTATAGGGACTATGGCTGGGGAATGGCATTGTATAGGGACTATGGCTGGGGAATGGCATTGTATAGGGACTATGGCTGGGGAATGGCATTGTATAGGGACTATGGCTGGGGAATGGCATTGTATAGGGACTATGGCTGGGGAATGGCATTGTATAGGGACTATGGCTGGGGAATGGCATTGTATAGGGACTATGGCTGGGGAATGGCATTGTATAGGGACTATGGCTGGGGAATGGCATTGTATAGGGACTATGGCTGGGGAATGGCATTGTATAGGGACTATGGCTGGGGAATGGCATTGTATAGGGACTATGGCTGGGGAATGGCATTGTATAGGGACTATGGCTGGGGAATGGCATTGTATAGGGACTATGGCTGGGGAATGGCATTGTATAGGGACTATGGCTGGGGAATGGCATTGTATAGGGACTATGGCTGGGGAATGGCATTGTATAGGGACTATGGCTGGGGAATGGCATTGTATAGGGACTATGGCTGGGGAATGGCATTGTATAGGGACTATGGCTGGGGAATGGCATTGTATAGGGACTATGGCTGGGGAATGGCATTGTATAGGGACTATGGCTGGGGAATGGCATTGTATAGGGACTATGGCTGGGGAATGGCATTGTATAGGGACTATGGCTGGGGAATGGCATTGTATAGGGACTATGGCTGGGGAATGGCATTGTATAGGGACTATGGCTGGGGAATGGCATTGTATAGGGACTATGGCTGGGGAATGGCATTGTATAGGGACTATGGCTGGGGAATGGCATTGTATAGGGATCATGGCTGGGGAATGGCATTGTATAGGGACTATGGCTGGGGAATGGCATTGTATAGGGACTATGGCTGGGGAATGGCATTGTATAGGGACTATGGCTGGGGAATGGCATTGTATAGGGACTATGGCTGGGGAATGGCATTGTATAGGGACTATGGCTGGGGAATGGCATTGTATAGGGACTATGGCTGGGGAATGGCATTGTATAGGGACTATGGCTGGGGAATGGCATTGTATAGGGACTATGGCTGGGGAATGGCATTGTATAGGGACTATGGCTGGGGAATGGCATTGTATAGGGACTATGGCTGGGGAATGGCATTGTATAGGGACTATGGCTGGGGAATGGCATTGTATAGGGACTATGGCTGGGGAATGGCATTGTATAGGGACTATGGCTGGGGAATGGCATTGTATAGGGACTATGGCTGGGGAATGGCATTGTATAGGGACTATGGCTGGGGAATGGCATTGTATAGGGACTATGGCTGGGGAATGGCATTGTATAGGGACTATGGCTGGGGAATGGCATTGTATAGGGACTATGGCTGGGGAATGGCATTGTATAGGGATCATGGCTGGTTATGAGCAATATGTAACGTGTCAGACACTGTGAAACGCATTCCTGTTCATAGACTGAAGGGTCCTAACATACGTGTTCTCTCCTGACTGCAGCGCTGTGCCGACACGCCGGGAAGAACTACGGATTGGGAGAGTCCTGGCTGGGAAAGGACTGTCAGCTCTGCACATGTCTGCACCCGGTGGGAGTGGGATGCTGCGAGATGTAAGTACTCAGACACTGAACCAGGAGGAGGACCCAGGTCACCTGACCACACACAGGCAGCACAGGTCACATGACCACACACAGGGAGCACAGGTCACCTGACCACACACAGGCAGCACAGGTCACCTGACCACACACAGGGAGCACAGGTCACCTGACCACACACAGGCAGCACAGGTCACCTGACCACACACAGGCAGCACAGGTCACCTGACCACACACAGGGAGCACAGGTCACCTGACCACACACAGGCAGCACAGCACAGGTCACCTGACCACACACAGGCAGCACAGGTCACCTGACCACACACAGGCAGCACAGGTCACCTGACCACACACAGGGAGCACAGGTCACCTGACCACACACAGGCAGCACAG